TATTATGTAAGATTTTAAATAAAATCAAGCAAAATATAAATTTTATTTAATATTTAAAAAAATTATCTAAGAAAGTATTATCAAAAACAAATTTTAGTCATAAATTATTACAAATACCTAATAAAAAAACATAAATTCACAACATTATAGTAATTAAAAATAATATTTATATGAAATAATACTGTTTTATCATATAATATTTATTACTTATCGTCTATACCTTATTATTGAGTATCTATATTAAAAAGCTATAGATTTCATAAAACTAATTTGTTTAAATAAATAATATTTAAAATATGATTATTTAAATAAATTAAAATATTAGCAAATAATTGTAAAAATAATTCAGTATTTTTATAATAAGTTTAATATTTATTATAAATTAATTTTTAAAAAATAAATCCTAATAATTTTAATATAATAGTTTTGTCTGTTTGTTTGTTTGTTTGTTTGTTTGTTTGTTTGTTTGTTTGTTTGTTTGTTTGTTTGTTTGTTTGTTTGTTTGTTTGTTTGTTTGTTTGTTTGTTTGTTTGTTTGTTTGTTTGTTTGTTTGTTTGTTTGTTTGTTTGTTTGTTTGTTTGTTTGTTTGTTTGTTTGTTTGTTTGTTTGTTTGTTTGTTTGTTTGTTTGTTTGTTTGTTTGTTTGTTTGTTTGTTTGTTTGTTTGTTTGTTTGTTTGTTTGTTTGTTTGTTTGTTTGTTTGTTTGTTTGTTTGTTTGTTTGTTTGTTTGTTTGTTTGTTTGTTTGTTTGTTTGTTTGTTTGTTTGTTTGTTTGTTTGTTTGTTTGTTTGTTTGTTTGTTTGTTTGTTTGTTTGTTTGTTTGTTTGTTTGTTTGTTTGTTTGTTTGTTTGTTTGTTTGTTTGTTTGTTTGTTTGTTTGTTTGTTTGTTTGTTTGTTTGTTTGTTTGTTTGTTTGTTTGTTTGTTTGTTTGTTTGTATGTGTGCACACTTCCTCAACAACCATTTTTTAATTCAAAGCTAAAAATATATTGTTATATTTTCAATTTTAATTTAAAGCAATGTTATTTCTATGGGAAATTTTAAATGATTATTGAGCTCAGGTAGGTTTTAGGGACAGGTAGGCTGGTGTCGTGTAATTACACTTTGCTATATTATATGAGTTACAGGGCACCGGGAGGTAAGCTACATGTGCTAAATTTTTGCAAAATTTTCTCAAATGCAAAAATTTTCAATTTGTGTTAAAATTTTCAATTTTTATTTAAAGCAATGTTATTTCTATGGGAAATTTTAAATGATTATTGAGCTCAGGTAGGTTTTAGGGACAGGTAGGCTGGTGTCGTGTAATTACACTTTGCTATATTATATGAGTTACAGGGCACCGGGAGGTAAGCTACCTGTGCTAAATTTTTGTAAAATTTTCTCAAATGCAAAAATTTTCAATTTGTGTTAAAATTTTCAATTTTTATTTAAAGTAATGTTATTTCTATGGGAAATTTTAAATTTTTGTTGAGCTCAGGTAGGTTTTAGGGACAGGTAGGCTGGTGTGTCGTGTAATTACACTTTGCTATATTGTGTGAGTTTATGGCACATGTTAGCTACATGTGTTAAATTTCAGTAAATTTTTTCAAATGCAAATTTTTTTTCGCAAAAATTAAATTTTCAATTTTTATTAAAATTATTTAAATATATATAAAAACTAAAATTTCTCAAAAGTTTAGTCGAATTAATGTGTATTGGTTCAGTAGTTTTGTTACATTAGGTTATGTAGTAGTTGTATAAACAAATTAAGTCTCATTCAAATTACTTATAGTAAATATTTTTAAATTAGTAAAAGAATTGTACGGCTATACATGTTGCTCGGGACAAACTAGTTGTTTTTAAAAAAATTTAAAATAATATAATTTGCTAATTTATTAATGCATTTTTAAGTTATAAGTTATATTATTTTTTTATTTAAGTAACTTTAGAGTTATTAACATACAAAATGATGACCCAAACACATACTAATTGTTTGCTATTAGACAGTTAGGTGTCCCCCCAATTGTTTACCTAATAGTTATAATATTTAATATAAAAATAAAATATTTAAATCTCATTATATCGGGAACAGCATATACAAACAAAATGAAAATTTATTTAAAAAATAAATCCTAAAGACATGTCCAACCGATTTGATCCGGATTTGTATTTTATTTATTAAATAATTTAATTATATTAAAACATTACTCTCGACTTTTAGCACATAAGTGTATCGGTTGGGTTAGAAATTGTTTTTAAAAAAAATTTACATATTATATAACATCTATGATTAAAACAGCGGTCATTTGAAGCAAATATGCCAATCAGTTATATAATTGAAGGTCAGGTCAAAGATCACAATCCATTTTAACTGAGAATCTCTTTAACAATAAATAAAATCTTTATATTAAAATATAATTAATCTAATATAAAATAAGTGAAATCTATAGTTTTTTAGTATAGATCCTCAAAAATAAGGTATAGAAGATAAGTATTAAATATTATATGAGTATTAAATGATTTTTATATTTTGCTTGATTTTATCTAAAATCTTACATAATATTAGTAAAATACAACTATACAAAAATTTTATAATATTATAAATAAAAAATAATTTTCCACTATTAATATTTATACATAATATACACATAAGTATGCATTTTGTTAAATTAATTAATAATAAAAATATGTTTAACATATAAAATACTAAACTATGTAGAAATTATTAACAAATGGTTAAACAAATAAAAAATCATACCATTAGTTTTGTCAATAATATAGTATAGGAACGGGTGGTCCACACGATATTCAATCGGTTTGGATTTACTTCGATAACCCGAACTTTTAAACATTAACTTAACAGCTGTAACGGCCGCCGCTTCAGTCCCCTCTTCATCTACAGATATAAAAGTTTTGTGTCTGATTTGTGTTACGGTGTGATCACCACATGAAGTGGACAGTCGTGATAGATCTGCTTCAGTGGTCAATGCAATTGGTTTGGGATTTATATCTTTCATCAAATCGTACTCTTTTTCTGACTTAAATTTTGGTAGAAATAGTTTTACATGATTTTCATTCATTGATTTGAATGCTTTATCAAAGTTTATGGCATTTATCCGAGTCTTAAGTGTTGACAAACCGTTTCTATCATTTGGTAATATAATAACAAAAGACATTTCCGATCCCTTATACGACAATTCAATGAGTCGTGAGTTTAACTCATCTGAATTAAAGTAACTGTAAACCTCTTTGTGATTCATTGTGTCGACCGAAACATTACTATTATCGGAGCCGTTGTTATAAAAGTTAGACTTAATAGTCCTCCACTGTATTTTATTGTTTGACTGTTTGCTAATCCATTGGTTAATTTTCTGTGTCTCTGTCTTTTAAACTTAATATTTAAAATCATAGTTTATAATATTTTATATAACAATATATAGTATTATATAACATAACAGACTTAATGCCGATATTATTGAAAACGAAGAGATAATGTCGTTGTTGTCATCTTTTGCTAACATATTGTATATTCTGAATGAAAATTCATTGTTTGACTGAATCACCAAATTTTCGGATGAATTCAACCCTTGGGTTGAATTACTAGCCATTAAACCGGTTAACAGTATCGACAATATTACTAAAACTATCATTTTTATGACAATAAATCTACAAATTATGCTTTAATTAATGATAAGATAATTTAATTATATTATAATTATTTTCATTAAATCATAAATTGATAATTATAAAATGATCACAAATTTTTAACTAATTATTATTATATTAACTTAAATAAATAATATTTATTAACATATTTGTAAATTAATTTATAAATTTTATAATAAATTAATAAATAATTATTAAATTTTAATAATACTAAAACTATAATTTATAAAATAATATGTTTATTTTCAAAAAAAAATTATAAAATATACTTTAAACAACAAATATATTACTAATAATATAGTATAATTTAATTTCTATTACTTTATTAAAGATCTAAAACATGTATATACATATATCGATATATATTAATAATAAGTAGTTGCATGTAAAAATATTAATTTTGTTTGTTGATAATTATTTATTAACTTTAAACTTGGTCTATTGTTCATAGTTATTAATATTGTATTTCCAGTAATTAATAATTATTATAAATCATATTAATTAATTAATTATTAACAACATTTTTTTGAACAACTATTCTATTGGTTTTTTATACATTATTTTAATTCAAATTTTATATTGAGAAGTTGTATTTAATTTATAATAGTTTAACAATCACTAAAAAAATTTATTTATCACACAATATATTTATTATATATTATTTTTATATAAATATATTATATTACTCTAGTTAAAAGTAATTATAAATAATTTTTTAAAATTTTCTATTCTTAATAAAATTAGCTATAAAACCTAACTTTAATTTATATTATTAATACTACTAAAGCTGTAGTGTATATTATGATATAATTATTATTAAATATGTTATCCAAAGATGACAACAACGACATTATCTTTTTGTTTTCAATAATATCGGCATTAAGTTTGCTATGTTATCTAATATTGTATATTGTTATTATGTATTTTTTATTAAATAAATTAATTTAATTATATTGAAACACTGCTCTTGACTTTCAACATACAAGTGTATCGGTTGGGGTATAAATTATGTTTTTTTTAATTTTACATATTATATAACATTACAAATAAACAAATATCTACTGTGTATTATACAATTTACATCTATTATTAAAACAGCGGTCATTGAAACAAATATGCAAACCAGATATGTAGTTGAAGGTCAGGTCAAAGATCACAATTCATTTTAATTGAGAATCTTTTTAACAATAAATAAAAATCTTTATATTAAAATATAATAAATCTAATTAAAAAATAAGTGTATTTTTGTTTTATTAATATTAATTAGTTAATTTATAAGCTATTTACAGTAAAATTATTACTACTTATAGATAAATGTATAATTTAATATATTTTTACTAACATATTGGTTGTTTTAATAACCAGTAATTGAATAAAGTTAGAAATTTGTCACCATTTTATTAATATTAATTTTGTTTTACTTGAAAATAGTTAAAATATATTTAATTTAATTTATATAATAATAATAATAATAATAAATTGTATAAAATGATAGCTTTAATAATATTGTCGATACTGTTAACCGGTTTAATGGCTAGTAATTCAACCCAAGGGTTGGATTTATCCGAAAATTTGGTGATTCAGTCAAACAATGAATTTTCATTCAGAATATACAATATGTTAGCAAAAGATGACAACAACGACATTATCTCTTCGTTTTCAATAATATCGGCATTAAGTTTGTTATGTTATATAATACTATATATTGTTATATAAAATAACTATTATTTTAAATATTAAGTTTTATATTGAAATATCATTTTACTGATAGGTATACTAATGAATGGCGCAAATTACAAAACACTCGACAATTTGAAGACATTTCTTGGATTTCAAAACAAACAGACAAATGAATTAATTAGTGATCAAACTATTAATAATGGATTTCAAACTATTAATGGATTGTATGAAAACAAAAGTATAGTAAATATAAATATTATTTATTTATTAATTTCAAATTAATATAATAAGTATATAAAACTATATAATTGTTTATTATTTAGGCATTGAATATAAAAAGCATTTGAATGAAACACAAGAAGACAATCGTTATAATGAAGATTTGAAACATCAGTTAAATATTGCAAATCTTGTCGTACGAAATGATAGTGAAGTACTTAAACAAAAGTTTGTGGACGCAATACAACTGGCCTTTAGAGCACAGGTAGATAGGGCTGACTTCAAGCACAATGCAGTGGCAGAAACTGACAAAATTAACCAATGGATACGCAAACAGACAAACAATAAAATACAAAAAATATTTGACATAATCGATGGACAGACATCTCTTATATTATTAAATGCGGTTTATTTTAAAAGTATTATTTGTTTATAAATTTATAATTTTTATTAAAAATTAAGTTATTAAATTTATAAATAAATTAACATTGTATTCATAATTAGGTGATTGGGAGGGAAAGTTTAAACAGTCGATAACTAATAAGTCTGTATTTTATAATAACGGCCACAAAAATAGTAATGTTTCGGTGGACACAATGTTTCGTACGGGTGATTACTTTTACTTTAGTTCACAAGAGTTAAACTCACGACTCATTGAATTGCCGTATAAGGGATCGGAAATGTCTTTTGTTATTATATTACCAAATGATAGAAACGGTTTGTCAACACTTAAGACTCGGATAAATGCCATAAACTTTGATAAAGCATTCAAATCAGTGAATATAAAATATGTAAAACTATTTTTACCAAAATTTAAGTCAGAAAAAGAGTACGATTTGATGAAAGATATAAATCCCAAACCAATTGCATTGACCACTGGAGCAGATTTATCACGACTGTCCACTTCATGTGATCAAACTGTAACCCAAATCAGACACAAAACTTTTATATCTGTAGACGAAGAGGGGACCGAAGCGGTGGCCGTTACACCTGTTGAAACGTATCATTTTCTTCGTGGTTTCAAATCCATTGTCCCACCGATTGAATTTCGTGTGGACCACCCGTTCCTCTATTATATTATTGACAAAACTAATGGTATGATTATGTTTTCCGGACAAATCAATAAACTTTAGAAATGACTAAATGAAACTTAAATGAAATTAAGAACTTATAAGCATTGATTGATTTTCTATGTAAACTATTTTATTTAATTAATAAATTTTATTGTTATAATAAATTTTTTTTTGTATTTTTTAAATTTTTTTTCATAATTCTGGATCTTTGTATAGCTCTAATATAACGATAGGTTTGATAGATAGTCAATAAGTATTTATTGTTTATATTTTATAGATTTTATAAATTATTAATGTATTAAATTAACTTATATTATATTATTGTTTATATTGAATCAATTAATTATATATTTTATATTACAAATTAATTGTAATATATATTATTTATTATATTTATTATATTATTAATTATTTATATATATATTATATGTAAAACATTAGTTGAGTTTTACGGCAATTGTTTATTAGGCGCACCAATACATTAAAAACTCATTGTATTTTAAAATTATTATTTTATTTAATTGTGAATTTGTTATACATTTGTAGTTAATATGTTGCAGTCGTAAGCACTGGCATATCAAAGCATAAAAGGTATGGTCAGTGCTATCCCTTATATAGGGATTTAAGTCAATATATTGACCCTTAAAATAGTCGGCAGTTATTTGAAAAGTAATAATGTTATAGAAAGTAAAATATTTTCTATTATTGGCAAAAATGTTAAATTTATGTCTATTTGTTAATTAAATTATTACTTATTTTATGTGAAATATTTCTATATATAAGTTATCATCAAATATAAAGTAGATATACTTTACATATACATTACATATCCTATAATATTATAGTATTATAATAATAGTCCTCTCAAAACATCCCAAACATACACAAAAAGTAGACAAAAAACTGATAATTTATAATTTGTATAATTAATTAAAAAAATTTAACTGTAAGTCCGCCATTCGGGTAAATAATTTCGGGTATTTTAGCGATGGTGGGGGCAATAGCAGTGATTTATGTGTAGAGCACATACACTATCCCTATTTTTTTCGGTTGGCATGTTTTCAAGCGGACTTTCAATAGTCGCGCTCACTATTAGGAATGGTGTGTTTATTATCATTGGAAAGTGTATTTAAAAACCTTTCCAATGATATATATCACCCCTTTCTATATTTTTTATATTTAAAGTTATACCACTTTTAGTGGTAGTAGTAAATAGCCGAGATTTTATGCAATATACTGTATAAGCCCTGAATGAATACACTTGTATTAATGCTGAAACAGATATCAATTGTAAGTTAAAACAAAAATATTTTATAATATATAATAAATATCTTAAATAAAATAGCAATTATTTTATTTTTTTAAATATAAACTTTTATTGATAGCTATACTAATGAACGGCGCAAACCATAAAACAATCGATGATTTAAAGATTTTTCTATGATTTCAAAACAAACAGACAAATAAAGTAATTAGTGATCAAATTATTAATAATTGATTTAAAAATATTAATGAATTGTATGAAAATAAAACTAAAATTTATTTACTAATAGACTATAAAATATATAAAATAATATCATTATATTTAATTGAATTCACTTATTAAGGCATTTCATATAAAAACTATTTGAATGAAACACAAGAAGACAATTGTTATGATAGAGATTTGAAACACCAGTTAAATGTTGCAAATCTTGTCGTACGTAATGATAGTGAAGTAGTTAAACAAGTGTTTGTGGACGCAATACAACTGGCCTTTAGAGCACAGGTAGTTAGGGTTGACTTCAAGCACAATACAGTTACAAAGACTCCATGGATCAGTAAACAGACAATAGTATTAATATATAGTTAAATATTTTCTAAACATATTTAACATAAAGTTTATTAAAATAAAAATAAAATATCTTAATCATCATAAACTAACTCTTCAATCGACACATTAATTATTTTTGGACACATATTGTAAATGTTTTGCACGGATTGCGGCGATATGTTTGACGAGTCGACTACCGATAGAGAAATCTTTTCGATTGACTTCATCCGTGACAACGAACTGATGGCCGCATCGGTAATATCTGTATCGGTAACTCTCAGACGCATAAGTCGTGGCAGATGTTTGTCAATGTCGACAAAGAATTGGTCTCCGATTTTACATTTGTTTCCGAAATTAATGTATAGATTAGTCAAATGTCGGCACGCCTTAAGTGTCCGACAGTTTACATCGAGATAGTGATCGCCGACTGTATTCATATTATTATATAAGCATATATTCAGACATTTTAATTGTTTCAAATGACTGAACGCCCGAAACAGACACAACTTTTGATTGGTGTCCACATTATCGGCACTTAGGGTCAGTCGTATCAGTTGTCGACAGTGTTGGCCCAACTGTTCCACAAACGGTATGAGCCAATCGGTATCCAACTTATTAATGTGTCTTAACTTCAATCGTCTTAATTGAGATAACTTTAGTAAATGACATTTCATGGCATTCAACGACATTTTTGTACAGTTTTTGTTGATATTCAAAGCAATTGAAGTGATTGTCAAGAGATTGGTTTCAATCAATACTTTCAAACGCATGGAATCGTTATTACAGTATTTCATTGAAAATCGTTTCATTTTCTTGACAATCAATTCATCGTTTTCATCAAACAGTACTGACATGTCCTCCAATGATCGGATGTTAATGGCGGCTAAGTTTTCGCATTGTTTCAAATATTTTCGGTCAATAGTATCGCATTCAAAGTAATGCAATCGATGGCCAAATCGCTGAAAGAATTGATCCCGCATTTGGGCGCTCATTGTCTGAAAGCTGCACTCAATGGCCTTCAAGTTCGGGCACCGGTTGATAATAGTGGCCATCAATTGGTCGAACCGTTCAATCCGATAGTGTATCTCAATATATTTGATATACTGGCACTTCTTGAGCAGCGTCTCGAGTGGACTGATTTGAGTGTCGACGACGTAAAAGCCGGACAACTGTTGTTTACCGTAAAAAAATTTGTCCAAAAGTTCGCCATTAATGATGAGTACTCTAACCTTATTGTAGATCACTGTCTGGAACTGACGGCACAGACATTCAAAACGGAATTTATCATACAATGGCAGATACGATAGGATCAGTTCGCACAAGTCGTCCCCAAACCGTTCAAGTGAATCTCTTTTGTCGGACATTAGATTTTTGCAGAGATTTATTGTTTCATTTGATCCAATTGTGTTACAAATGTCTTGACCATCATTGACAACGGCAACAGTATGTGTGAAGCGATTCAGTGAAAACATTGTTTTCTGTCTTACTATTATAATAACTAAATTATTATTATTATATTTAAAAACTAATTTATATTTAAGATAAATTATATACTTTATTACTATAAATATGTTAATTTAATTGTAAAAATGTTTATTTAAAAAAATATAACAATTAATATTAGTTATTACTATTATAATATTAAATAAATATTTAATGCTATTAATAAGTTATAATTATCTAAATTTAAAATATTCATAGATTACTTCATTATAAAGTATTTTATAAATATATAATAATACAATTAATTGTATCAATTATGCAATTAATAAAATAAACATCAATAACAAAAATATTTTTTACTAATCTTCGTAAACTTTTTTATATTAACATTAATTAACTAATTAATTAAAATAATATTTAAAAATACTTTAAAAATACTTTAAATTTATTTAGCAATTTACTATTTTAATAATAACATATACAATATGTATATTTATAACGTAATATATATAATAAGTAACCTAGATACTTACATTGTACTTTTATCGGTATATTAATATTTATTTATTATTAACTTATGACTAAACAAATTGTTTTTTTTGTGTAATAGTAAACTATTTAAACTAACAAATAAGTGTATATATTACCAAAATTATTATATTTTTTAACCTAACACAATAGAAATATCATCATAGATAAATAATTAATTGATTTGTTATACATTTACAGTATACAGTATATGATACAAATAAAATGTAAAAAATACTACAGTTAATCATAATGCACCTGATAAAATATATTTATTAAAAATATTTATTGTCTCAGTAGTTATCATGCAGTTAAACAAACAATTGTAAATGTATATAATTATATAAATATATTGTATATATATATATATACAGTATATACAGTATATGAAAAAATATAAAATTATCAATTAAATGCAGCTAATTTTTAAGTAGTATACACTATATTTTATAACTATTTTATATCTACATTATTAATGGTAAAGTTATATGTAATTTAAAACAATAAAATTGTAAAAATAAATAAAATATTTTTCTAGTACTTTATATTTTGAGATTTATATTGATAAAAAAGTTTTAAATGTAAATGTGATTTAATATAGATATTATAAAAATATATTTCTAAATTTACAAATAAATTGACGTTTGAATTAATTGATTATCAGTTAAACAAATATTATTTAAACACACCTATTGTTGTATTTATCATATATATTGTGAATATACAATGCATACAATGATATTTTTATTATCGGGCACATCAAACTAAAAAAATGTTTTATTGCTTACTTTTTTTGTATAAATAAATAAATTAAATAATAATTTTAATACTTAATTTTAATACTAAGTTAAACTAATGTTATTTTTTCATTTCATTTCAACAAAACAATCAAAAGATTAATACATTAACTACTGTATTACAGATTGTGATTTAACTTATATCTAAAATATATTTTCTACTTAAATAAATGTCTATAACTTATATAAAAAATACTGTATTACTATTATTATTTAATAAAATAAAAATTTTAATAATATTATAGTCGTTATGAATCATAATATTCAGATAATAATAATGATAAAAATAAATTCAATTATTTAATCGCATTGTAAGTCAACAGTGAAACAAAATCAACAGGTAATCACTGTATCCAATGGTTATTATCATAAAAATAAAAAAATAAAATGAAATGACAATATTTGCCAGCAATTGTTGCATTCAATTAGGGGTATCACAAAAATATTTATACTTTTAATATATAATAGTCATATAATAATAATAATAATAATAACTTTTAATATTTTTTGACATAAATGTCTACATTTTTAATAGCCAACAATTAATAGTTGCATTAAAACTGGTGTTTCTGTGTTCAAATGGTTGGCCAACTTCGCCGACAAGACAGCGACCTAACCGGAACCTATAGGTCGACCAGTTATCTGATAATCAAGTGGTTCCTCATTGCTATGATTGTGCTAAACATATTGAGCTCGATATGGGTTGGAATTTATATGGAAAATCATTACCGACGGGTCAAGAGTATTGACGACAGACAGTGGTATAACTGGGATTCGCCGCGATTTGATGACAAAGATTTCAAACATAAAGCCGATGTCTGGAAAGGTGTGGTCATTACGGTGTTAGTCATATCGGATTTGGTCTGTTTGTTGGGTATTTTTGGTGTCCTTCGTGAACATTACTGTCTGACAATGGTCTTCGGTGTACTGATGCTCGTCTATGCCATCTTTAGCTGTATTACCGAATATATGAGGCGCAGTATATCTGCATGGGTTGTGTCGTTCAGCACCGGTATTATTGCCTTTTTGTTTGGACATAAAATCCGAGTCGAAGTCATCCATCCGACCATCTATTCGTCACCTATTAATGATTGATATTTATTTTTTATTAGTATTTAAATATATATATAGAATGATAATATATATAATATTTTCTGTATTTATTATTTAGCCTTTATTTAGGCATTTATTTTTTGTTTTATTTTTTATATATATATTGAATATAATATAACATCTAATTTATAACAAATTTTAAAAATTATTTATATATTTATAAAATATTTTAATAATTAATACTTAATAAACATCATATACAGTCATTTTTCAAAGTTAATATATTGTATATTTTTCAGTCTATTATTTTTGTAATGTCTAAAACAACATTTTATTTGAGTTAATTAAACTTAAATTTTATTAACGGTTTTAGTTTCATCTATAAAAAAAATTTTAGTTATTTTTATGCAACAAAATCAATATTTGTTTTTGATTTATATATTGTGATATTATAATAATGTTGAACATTAGTAAAATAGCATAGAAATTGTCGCCCAAATACAATAAATAAAATCTGATAAAAGACAACTGTCCCCAAAGCAACAATCAATGCTATTTTTGGTTAGTAATACCTTATATGCGATATTATTATATTATCATACATTAGGCGAGACTTAAACTTTTGCTTTTTAACAAAAGCGATATTATAGCAAAAAAAATAATAATTACTATTATTATTATTATTTATAATTATTAGTAATTTATTGAAATACATTATGAATACTACATATAATTATAAAGTAATTTTGAGAAAATAATAATTAAAAAAATTATTAATATATTAATAGTTTATTACTATTTATAATATTTATATAAAAAAAAATTTGAAAAAATGAGTCGTCCATTGACTTACACTACATCCTATCGTAGTTTACAATTTAATATAATTAAGTGGATATTAATATCGTTTGCCATATTAAACATCCTGAGCTCTATATGGGTCGGCATTTATGTCGAAATGGTTGTCCGTCGGGCCAATCACGAACTGCCCAACGACGACGGCCACTACGGTACCGGCGACTATGGACAGGCATCCAAAATATGGAAAGGTTTTATTATTGCCGTACTGGTGGTCATCGATTTGGCCAATTTGGTCGGCATTTACGGTGCATATAAGGAAAACTATAGGATAACATTGATATACGGTGTCGTAGTTATGGCTTACGCTGTATTTTGTGCGGTCAGTGACTACATCCGCGGCAGCTATTCCTCATGGGTTGTGGCACTCAGTGTCGCACTACTGGCCTTTCTGTTTACCCATAAGATCCGTACGGAAGCCACACAACCCGTCCGATATTCATCGCCATCATCTGATCCATCAAAACCTTAATTTCATGTCTATATTGTTTTGTGTGTTTGTGTGTAATTTAATATATATATTTTTTTTGTTGCATTTTTCAATATTTCAATTAATTTTGAATATTTTTGTTTTCTTCTAATTTTAACTTGCTAATATTTTTTTTTTAAATAATATATCAAATGTGACAAACATTGAACTTTAAATTGGCTAAATGCACGGCAAAAACCAATTTGTGCCTTAAATTGAGTATTACTTAATACATATATATGTATTAAAAACTATTACTTTTATCAATTACTAATGTTATGATAATATACTGTATTAATCATCAATGATTTAATTATGCAGTTTATTTCATAATTAAAATAGTTTTAATTGTTTAATCAGATTTATGTCAATAGGTGGCACATTTATCTTAATATTGATACAGTTTAATAAATTATACCTTGTACTGTATTGCACAATAATTATTATACTAAAATTAACAAACATTTAAAAAAATAATTATTCAAAATTTAATTAATATAAATTTAATTAATTAAGTTTATTACTATTTTTTATTTTATTATTTAGTATTAACTTAAATTTTTTTTGTAACTTTATATGTATTATTTCATTACAATCATATTTTCATTGGATAAATATATTATTGTAAAATGTTATTTAAAATATTATATTGTTTGGTTACTTAAAAAATAACTTGTATATAGCTAAAAACATTATTAATCACTAAACTGTGACATTAAATATTTTTTACAAAATAAATAAAAAAGTCATTACTAAGAAAACTCTATTTTTTAACATAATTTTTTTTATTCATATAATATCAAAGAAAATATCTTTTATCTATAGATATAATCAAATTATTATTTTTTAATAGTAAATTTAGCGTGATCAATTTAGTCATTAACTACTATTGAATTTTTAACATATTTATAGAATATGCAGATATTTTTTTTCATTTATAGTATTAATTTTATCAACTTTTGACAAACACACACAAAAATATTTTTAAAATAATAATACTAATTTTTTTTAATATAAAGTATATCTATATTATAATTTTATTTTATTATAATTGTAACTAACAATTAAAAAACTCAAATATGTTTGACTATATAATGTTTTTAATTTGCAAAAATCTATTCATTATACTTTGTTGTATTTATTTGATTACAATTTACTGGACAATTGATAGCTCGTTGTTGACATCAATGGACAAAAATAATTGTCGTATCAATCATATGGATTGCAATCAAATTCAGACAGTGTTTCTTGTATTGACAATACTGTCGGCAGTGATGGCCATCATCGGTCTGATCGCAGCACTGGTCCATCACTACACACTGTCAATGATGTCATCGGTGGTCCAAATGCTGACATTTATACTGACATTCGCCCAATTACTTCATCCGCCATCAGTTGTCATCGTAATCAACATATTGATGATTGTATTTAATTTTTTATTTTCATATTTACTTTGGCTTAAACTACAGCAAACCAGAGATGATAGTGTTTTACTGACTGAAGATTTTATGTCATAAATTTTGATAATTATAATTTTATTTTTTTATTTTATTTTTTGATAATAATAATAATAATAATAATAATAATATTGTATAATTAATTTGCATAGTTATAATTTATTGTATCAAACATTTTTCAATAAAAAAATAAATAAACATAAAATTAAGTTTAATACTACTGTATAATATATCTGTACATTGTATATACCAGTGCTACATACAATATAATATGAGAAATATAATCATTATACATTATTTTAATTATTAGGGTAAATAATTATAGCTAATTAATACCAATTAGTTGAAATTAATTAATGTATTATGTTTTTTTTTTTGAAAAAATATAAATAACAAATTAATTATATAGCTTATAATTCATGACAGTATTATTATGACAATAAATATTTATAGAAAATTAATGTAAATTATATATATATGTAGTATTTAAGTAATTATTTGATATTATATATATATAATAAATTGATAAATAGCAAATCATATATGAAGTACTGGCACTAATATCCCGTTTTGATGGCAGTGGTGGCCGTCCTGTAGCCGCTACCGGGAGTGGACACGTCGTACATCTCCTGTTCGTTTCTGATCATCCAAAGAAACATTGCCGACAACGTAAATATGACAAACGGTATAACAAAACAGGTAATACTGCCTCTGGTATAGACACTGGATATACCGTAGATGGCGAACAATAGAGACAATAGACAGGTGGCTATAGTCCAGTCCCGGCGGTCCATCCAAATACCGAACATCAGAAACAGGTCGACACAGTCGGCTAGTATGACAAAGGTTAGCGAAACTATATACCACGTGTTGACCGCTGATATCTTTTCGAGATCATCGCGGGCGGCGTTCAGCTCCCACCACGACTGGCTAGTAATGAATATACAGATCCAGATGCTGTTGAATAGTTGGAGTATCATAAACACCAACAATGTATACTTAATGACATTAAATTCAGTACTACGGGGCGCGTATCGGCTCAAACTGGCCGAGTAGTGGCTCAGACTGTGAGTACTCCTATGGATACTGCGGACCATTGCTGGCTATCGGTGTTATTATGAAATTATTATTATTTTTTAAAATACTACAAATTATTGTTAATAATAATGTTTTTAAAACAGTCTTAAATTTTTAGTCAGGAGTTATTTGACCACAACTTTAATTGAAATAAAAAAAATTATTAATAACTAAATAAAATGTTTTATATTTTACTAAGCAATTACATTATATGAATGTTTGTTATATTGTATTTGTATTTATTTATAATTAATGTAATTCTTAATGTAATAAAAATTACTGATCTCTTGGTTACGACAAATGATTCACACATTTCCGTCTAGTTTTTGCTTTATATGATATTTTTTAATTAGTTAATTAATTAATAATTATTAGACTATTATTTTTTTCTTGTATTTAAATTTAATTGTTAATAATATTAGTTTTTTATATTTATTAAATATATTAAAAATATCAAGTATGTTAGTTAAGTTTTTTTTTTTTAAATATTTAATATGAATTTATTTAACGTTATGTCAGAGCCCATTATTATTTTAAAAAATAATTTTTGTTTGAGACGATCTATAATATAACATAATATAAAAATAATTGATATAATTTTTAAAAATTAATTTATTTTATACTACTGTAAATAGTGATAAAGAAAATCATAGAACTAGTAGATTATAAATAATTATCTCACAATTTATCTAATCTCAATAAAAATCATTAATAATTATGACATAATAATAATAAATACAAATGCCATACAAATTAATAATAATGGCATTCAATGACATCCATCACATTTGAATAAAAAACCTAAAAAATTGAACTTGAAAAAATTATTGAAATAAAAATAATAAACATGTCATTTACAAAAAAAATTGATAAAAATCTATGTTTATTATTATAGTTAAAAATTTAATAATAATAAAGAAAAAATTGAAAACCATTAAACATTGTTTGAAATATTTGGGTTCTCTATTAGCTATTGTATTAAATTTTAGTTGGTTTCACTTATTTTTTTCATTGAAATAAAAGCATATAATTAAAAATAACATTTATTTTTTAAAAAGAAGAATTTCAAGGATTTTTAGGTGCGTTAAGAATAATAAAATATGAATATAATAAATAAATATTAATATTTATAAATAATTAAATAATTAAATATTAAATAAAAATTGTATTTACATAATTAATAATTATATATATATATATATATCTAACCTAGCTAAATTAAATATGATAATAGATTTTATATAAAATTACGAGTTTGTAGTTTCAAATTTAAATAAATATTTTTAAAAATATTGTATATCTAAAATATTATTTAATTTTTAAATGTAGTAATTTTCAGATAATAGGTAATAGAGATTTTCAACTATAAATGTATAAAATTAGCACTCAATATGTACATACAATTTATTTATTATATTTATAAATGTAAATCTAACTAAAATTATCACTAAAAAATATTTTAAAATTTATATTTTTTTAAATATCTAAAAATTTTTAACACAGTATATGACAAAAATTTTTAAAAATAAATATGTTTATTATAATATAAAAATATAGTACAGTATTTAATCCTATCAAAACAATTATTAGTCATCAATTGAGCATATGATTAAAATGCATGTTTTTTGAAACATAACACACATTTACATTATGATAAATAATTAAAATATTTATTTGACAAACAATATATTAAAAAAAATATTTTTTTTGTATTTTTAATCATTTAAACATGTTTTAATATTAAAAAATAAAACATTTAATAAATTTATGTATAAATTTATGTATAAATTTATGTATAAATTTATGTATAAATTTATTGGCATTATTGAGCTTTTTTTAAAAAAATATTATTTTATCGTTTTATCAACATTTTTAACATTAGCTAAAATCATTAATAGCTATCAATAATAAATTGTATATTGTATATAATAAATATATTGTATCTGTTTTTGTTAATTTTTAAAAACATTACTATATAATTATGAAAGGGATAGGACAACCTATTTAAATGAAAAAATACTATTTAATTATAATAACATATTGTATCTGATTATCACTATTATTAATTTTGTTTTAATACAGTAATATTACTAATAATACTAAACTATAAAAAATATTGTAAAAACTGTGTCAATATTATGATTATTTAGTTTTCCTATTTATTTCCTATACACGTAAACACAATTTCATAGTACAGTACATGATTATATACATGTTTAATGATTTCACAAAAATTTTTAAACTTTCAAAAGTAATTTACATTATATTTTATAATAATTTCTAAAACATGTTTATTGCTTAGATGTAATAATAATAATAATGTCAGTGTTATATTAATGTTACTTAAAACCTTATTTTTAAGTTTACTAAAACATTATTGTTATCGTTTTGATTTATATACATATATTTTGTTTTTGGGTGGAAAATACTATGATATTTTGTTTCAAAACAGTCAGACACCAGTTTTCATTGTTAATTGTTTGAGGCACTGGTAGTCTCATTCACTCAGTATATGTATTATAATAAATACCGATTCTTTAAGGGCTGTTAGTTCACTATTGCGGCGAATCCCTCACTCCGTTAGCATCTCTCATATGATTATATGACTATACACTTGTATATTACATGAATATTATATATATATATACCATTTGGCTCTTATATTATATGCTGTCAACCATTTATATATTGACTTCAATAAAGAAACAGTGAAACAGAGAAAAGAGAGCCAGAGTTTAAAACCAATTGTTTATATATATGAAAAAAATTTTGTACCAACTATTTAGACAATAGATATTTTTTCCAAAATAGATATCAAAATTATTGCAGTTTTAATGCAATTATTATTAAGTTTTTTCTAATTATTATTATTAATGAAATTTATCATTTAAATAAAATGTAAGTATACTTATATTATTTTACTAAAAAAATTATTCTATGTTATTAGTATTTTATTATTACTGTATTATAATATATACTCTATATATTAATATTCAATGTTCACACTGTATAAGCCTGACGTTTAAAAAACTAAATGAAAACTTTGTGTGTATTATTAATATTATTATTATTATGAGTACTTATGTTAAATAAACTCATTAACAATAAAGCAATTGATTGTATAATATATGTATGAATCTAAATGTTATATTATTATTATTATCAGCTGTTATATGTCGAGGTCTCACATATTTGTTATTTTTAGTTTATTATTATTCAAAATATTTTGTTTTGCAAATTTTTGTATCTTATATTGAAAAAATTCAAAATAGTTGATCCAATTATTTGATACACATAAAAAAAAATAAATTATTTATGACTAAAATTCTTGAAAATTAACATTAATTTTGTACACATAATTTATTATAAAATTATAATACTACTAATAATGATGATAATGGTTATTTTATTTTTATTTTATTTTTTGAAAAATTTTAATAGTCATTTACCAATACATTTACATTATTAACATTTTATTTTTGAAATAATTATTTAAGCTGTAAATAACATGAATTTTTAAAAAATGTATTTACTATTTCTGTATTATCTAATAAAAAATTTCTAATAAATAAAAAAATGCAAATTTAATAAAATAAATCAATCAAAAACAAAAAATTCTATACAAATATTCATTTTTAGTAATATAAATAATTATATTCAATATGTAATTGTCGTAAATTTCAAATCAAATATTTACAATTAGATTGCAAAATAAAATAATATATACAATATTGTATATTAAATAATATTGTATTTCAAATATCTGTTCAAATACAGACACTTAAAGTTTTTATATATAGAAAATAAATATAATATATAAAACCACAAAACCAATGATCAGTCTCTCTCTTTCTCTCTCTCTCTCTCTCTCTCTCTTTCTTTCTTTCTTAATAACGTTGATTATGAAACCATAAGAGTTCTTTGCCATATATATATAAAGTCTATGTCTGCCAAAAGGGTATATGATATACACTGTATATTATACAGTATATCACTCAATACATTGTGTGATTATAAGCAATGCAATAAATATAAATATTGATTAAAAAAAATAAAAAGAGAGACATTTAATTTGGATTTCATGATAATTTTGTGTGCAATAAATACAATTTACTAAATTATCTTATATCATAATTTTTTTTTATTAATTATTGAATTACAATTCAAATGCAAATTCTCAGTACAATTATTAGCTAACAATTCTATGAATTGCAGACAATATTCTTTGACCTGAGTTACGCCCTTTTGCCAGAACCAGCAGTTGGTTTAGTAGTTGTCTGTACACCCCGTGAGTGCAATACCAGTCCAAAGTGGTTGCGCTATGAAATCAAACATTTGTGTTGTATATAGTTTTGTTGCCTAAAAGACATCAATATCTTTATTTTATGACAGAATAGGAGAGTTAGAAAGTTTAGGGCCAATAGTGACGCCAATAGTTAAACAGTATATAATATACAGTACTATACTATAGTAGTGCTCTACACGTGATTGTCAAGTGATCATCACATCTCTGAGTGCGTGCTCTCCATCCAAACTGTTCACAACTGCACACATATACATACATACAGTACATACATATACAGTATATTTATTATACATACATACATACAGCACATACAGGTTTATATAATAATAATAATACATGTATTATACTTTTCTTTTATACTTTACATCCATACCAATCCCTGTACTATATTATACAATACAATATTCTGATGACAACAATCACTATATGCCTCAAATGTTTGGTTACTTAGATATATATATATATATTATATACTAATACATTAAAAGACCTGAGAATATATGAGATAACATAATATATATATATATATATATATATATATATATATATATATATATTATATATAAACAGATTATCTATTGAATTGAAATAAATGAATGCAATAAAACTAAATGGCCCTCAAATAGCACTACTACTACTCATTTAAAAAAGTTAACTCTTTTTTTATGTCTATAATTTACTCATTCGTCTCTCCCATCACTGACTGACTGACTTTTTTTCTAACCATTAACTAAATATTTAAATAAATTATGAATATATAAAAAAATATATGTGTATAAGTAATATGAGTT